TCTTATCACGAATGTTGTCAAAATTATAAAGGTGAGTGTTCTGATGATGAGCTCATTGAAAAACAACTTTGCACAGTTACAATGGCAGGTTAGTGGAAAAAAAGAGTGACCAGCATATACAAAACACCATTCTTTTTGATTTCATTGGAGAGAATTTGAAAAGAGTCGAAAATTATACAAAAGTTCTTCAAATTGTATATAATCAAGAATCGATGCAAGGGTATCTTTCTAACCATGTAATCCCTATTGTCGCAGATTGGCCTGGTCAGTTCTTTATTCGCAAGGCTATTGCACACCAGCTTCTTCTTGACAATGAAGTTATTCCTTCGTTTGTTACGTCATTCTTACCTATTATGGAACCCCTTTATGTGTCTTTGAATAGTTGTGAACTTGTTTTTAAGCAAAATTCACTTCTATTTAATAATATTTACAAGGGCATATTTGGAAAAAAGAAGCTTGATAAAAAGCCGCGACCATGGCAAATCGACTTAATTCTCCATCTTATGCGTGTGGCGTGGCTTGACATATCTAATATAGTTTATTCTAAGTTTGGTCATATATGCAAAAGCATTGAATTTTTATATCTAACCAATTTTTTAAGTAATTTAATTCCTCTAGTTCTCGACGTTTATGTGGTGCACCATTGAGAAGACGACTGGGCTGCTTATAAAGAAGTCTGTTTACATTGTTGGAGTGATTTATTTCTTTGATTTGATCGAAGAAATTATAAGCGTGCTCATTAATGTTTTTTTCTGATATATTTTTTTGGACTAAAACTAATCATCCAATAATAAATATGATCACTAATCATCTTGCGTCTTTAAGTGATTGTCCTGTAGAAATGGTTCATAGTATCATTCGGCGACGTACGGCTAAATTTTTTACTGCAGATCAATTGCAGAAAGATGTGTGGTTTATGTTTCAAAATCGAGAAGATAATGTCTTTCGTCAACATTTTGTGAATTCTATAAAGTATTCTTACAAACCGAAGCAACTACACATGCTATCCCGAAGTGAGCCACATTATTTTTCGAAATATTTACGAAGATATACAAAGCATAGCATCTGTATTCTTTGATAATTAGTTTATCTGATGATGGTATTAATACATATAAGTTGTCTTTTTTAGGTTATGAAATAACCAATCAGCACCTTCCAAGGGGTTTCGTTACCTCTAGAAAACCATATACAAGCGTCTTATGTAATTTTTTATACTGCGATTATACTAGTTATACTAACTGTTTTGACAATGGGATTGTTCTCACGTGTGGGTATAGCTATTATAGCCGTTGCTTGCGAAGATGCAATTTTAAGTGTTTAATTTGTTTAGACTATCTTCAGAATAAAATTAAGATTAACGTCGAAGCACTAAGAGTAAGTATAACGAAAGATTTGGGCAAAAACGAATTTATTGAAAAGCAGACTGAATGTACTGATGATGATGAATTAGACAATGCTGAGGCAGTTGCAGATGAAATAGAAATAGAAAATAATTTATTAGAGAATGCAAAAAAAGCTTTTTTAAATATTAATTAAAAATTACATGTATTTATATTAAAAAAAAAAATTTTTAATAAATCTCTTCTAAATAAAATTACAACTTAATAAATTTGACTTTTTTTGTAATACTTCATTAATTAATCGATTAATTAATCGAATTGGCAATTAATCGGTTAATAAGTTTACTAATCAATTAATTGATTATTGCAGTTTGCATAATTTTGTGACCTCTAACTAATTTTTTTTTATAATTAAATGATTGTGATTGCGATCGCGATTGCAATTTATTATGAACCTGAGTTTGATAAATTGACTGGCTTTAGCAATCGCGATTGCAGTCACGATCACTTAATCATAAAAAAAATTAGAGGAGTATCTCCGGACACTTACTATTTCACGTAAATTTGTAATTACCAAGTTATATGCATTTATTATCGTTATATATATGTACATACAAATTCACGTGAAATGGTAAGTGTCCGGAGACGCTCCCTAAAATTAGTCATAGAGGTCACAAAATTATACAAACCACAATAATTGACTAATTGATTAATCAATTAGTTGAAAAAAAAATTAATAGATTGCATTTTTTGGTCCGATTACACTAATTGTAATGTAAAATCACATTTTTTATAGTAAACAATTCACAATTTTGATTGGTTGAATCGATATGCAGATCTGCGATCCTGAGTCAAACCATGGTTTCCATATTTGGGATGGTCCTACCTGTAATAACAATTAGTGATCTGTTTGTTAAGAGTTTGCCAAATTCTCACTTTTTGTATTAAAAGTTGTAAAAAAATTTTTTAAAGTTTCTAGTTGCCACAAAATTTACTAATAAAGTATCCTGTTTGTTTTTAAAAGAGTTTCTTTGTTTTATATAAAGATTTTTTTTTTCTTAGAAAGGTTTTGGCAGTTTATTAATTTGTTTTTGTGATATTTGCTATTTTTTTTAATTCTAAATTTGGTATAAAAAATCAGTAGAAAGAGTTGTTTTTGAAAGCTATTACTAAATATGCTATATTTTAATTAATGAAAATAATAAAATTTAATATTCAAATTTTTTCAAATTAATTTTACTCAAATATAAACTAATATCCAAAAAAGATTTACGATTTTATATCCAAATTTTTAATAGTCTTTGCTGTAGTACTGTCAAAGATCACTGTTACCTCCAAATTCAAGACTTCTCAAATAGATTTTCAGTTATTCTGATTCCTTGAATTTATTGTGCCAAAGCTTCCATTACTAGATGGTATAATCAAAATTGCAAATTTTGTTCTAAATTTAACCAATACTTGATAACTATCAACTATAATGCAAGTTTAATTTTCAAAATCATTATTTATGGGATTCAAACTCTAGATCTGCTACTTGAAGAGGGTAATGACTAGACTACTACACTAAGTTACTACACCTCTGTATTAGTTTTTTTAATCAATAGTTATATTATATTATTGTATAATATAATATTATATTTATATATAGTGTAATTATTGTATTATTTTTTTTAAATAAAATTAATTTTTTTAAAATTTTTTTTTGTTTTTACATGCCTGAATCTGATTGGTTGATTCTAGAGTTATTATAAAGTAATGTCTTTTTTAAAAAAAAAAACTTAAAATTTTTAATATTATATAATTAGATTTATATAAAGTGTGATCAGATTTTTAATTGTACAAGTTATTTTGACTATCTGATACTATGAAAAAATAAGTTATGTGATTTTTTTCTATTTTTAATTAGTTAATAAACCAGAGATATATAGTAATATATCTCTAGCTAAAGATAACTAAAAGAACCTTTTTATTATAGTATATCAAATTAGAATAATTTTTTGATGATTTTAATTTTGAAAGAGCTTATACAGTATTACTAGAATAAGATTTAATTTTTTTTTATTTAAAAAAATTTTTTTTAAATAAAAATTTACTTCAAATCAAAATACAGTATATCAATTTTAGTAAAAACTTGTATATTTCTATATAAATTTGTAAAGGTTTACTATTAGACAAAATTAGATGTGTCAAATTAGGTATGTTTTTTTATGTTTTAATCAAATAATATTTAATTTTTTTTACTTTTTAATAAAGATAAACTTTGGTTTTGTTAGCTTTAGAGCCTTTCTCTTTGTTTTTTTTTTGTTTATATATATATATATATATATATATATATTTTTTTTTAATAATTTTCATTTATTTTTTTTCTTTTTAATATACACTTTTATATTGCTAATATAAAAACATAGCTTTTTTTTGCTTTTAATAAAAAAAGAAGTGAAAAGATTAACTCTAGATAGGTTAACAAAGTCTTTTGGCTTCTTGAAAGTTGGTGCAACAGATCATAGCTAGGTAGCTAGGTAATGTTGAACTTGCAATTTTAAAATGCTTTTATTTTTTTTATATAATATCCTATTAGTGATTAAATAAAGTATTGTATTTGAGCTTTGACAAGACTATCAAAAAACCAAAAAAAAAGTAAAAATAAATAAATAAATTTATTTGTAGCTATATATTCAATAATTTTACAATAACTTAAAATTTTACCTGTTGTGTAACTAAGTAAAAATGCTTCTCTTACAATTTTACCTCTAAACCCTAACCCTAACCTAACCCTAACCTTAATCCTAATTCTAACTCTAATGTTAATATAGCTGCAAATTTTTTTTTATAAAAAAAACTATATTTGATAGTATGGCTATATATAGTGTGGCTACAAATACATTAATTTAAAAAATAAATTAAAAAATAAAAAATTAATTAAAAAATAAAATAAAAACTAATCATCACGGGGTGTTTGAAACCCGGATATAATTTTTATACAAATTAAAATAATTTATATTAAAGACGATTTTTATTTGTACACTAGTGTATGAAACACGGGTATAGTCAACTAAAAATTTTGCTTACAAAATCACTTTGGGGTTCTAACAAAAAATAATCTACGTAAAATTTTAGTAACTCTGACCTCTAGCCCTAACCCTAACCCTAATATTAAGTAGTTTTTGTTTTTATGAATTTTATATACGTATACGAATTTGCAAATCAATTAATTAATACCCGTGTTTCATACGCTGGTGTAGATTTAGAAATTTTCTTGATTGAAACTTCATTTAAGTGCCACAATTAATAAATGAATATAACTATATTAATATGAAACACTCAATTATATGGGAGGCTGCCAGTAGAAACCAAGCAAATTGTTTTAATGAGTTTTTTATTCAAAATATCTAAACAACTATTTAAATTAAACTTGATAAATTTTTTTTATTTTAATTTTATAACTACATAATATTAAAATAAAAAATTTTTTATCAAGTTTGGTTTAATAGTTGTTGAGAAATTTTATTTTAAAGTTTTAAAAAAATTTACTTAGAAACAATTTGCTTGGTTTCTACTGCAGCCCCCCATATAGTGAAAAGATTATTATGAAAATGAACAAAGATAGAAATGTGATACTGAAATAATAATTTAAAGATGGATAAGTAGAAATAGAGTCGTTCAGTGTTGGACATATGTCCATTCTGCTGGACTACTTGGTCTATTCAGTTCTAGTTCGTCAGTTTTAAATAACTGGACAGTCCAGTTCTGTTCAATTTAGTCGGTCCAATCCGACTTAATTCAATCCAGTTAGTCCAGTAATAAGTATATATAAATTGTTGCTATAAAAAAAATATTTTTTGGTCCAGTGATTACAATGGAATAGAGTGATTAGCGATTACATAAAAGGATAACTTATAAAAGATTTTTCAAAGAAAGAAAATATGAGGGAAATGAAAATGTCAAGTTAGAGAAGTAAATGCAGGGGAAATTGTTGACAGTTGGGGAAGTAAAAGCTTAAGGAAATAATTAGAATTTTTAATGATGTTTCGAACCGATCTGGATCACCGACCCATGATATGAAGCCAATTATATAATTTTGTTGACCTCAAAATATTTTATTTTGTTTAAACAAAATATCTACAATATTTACCTTCAATCACGTAGAAGTTATACAAACAATTATTATACTAACACTTTAAATAATTATATAATAAAAATACATTATCCTATGATACTTCCAATCTAAGAGTAAATTATAAAACCTTGCTTGTATCATAATTTTTCCTATATTCAATTTTATCAACCTTAACATCACCATCAACTAATCGATAAACGTAGGTTACAACAACAGAACCTTGAATATCCATCAGAACAAAAGATGGTTTTATATCCCTGCAATTAATTAAAAGGATAAGATAGAAGGGATAAAAATTTGAATAAGAGATGAAATATAATTAAAATCTATAAAACCAAATTACTTACTCAGTACAAAATCCAGAATAAGCACCGGTTGCACTTCCAGGATTAACAAAAAATTTGCCTTCATATTCAATCGCCTCAAATCGATGAGTGTGACCAGTTAATAAAATGTCTGCATCCATTTGTCGTGCTATGATTGATAAAGATTCAGCGTCACCCACGGGAATCACCTGGTGACCATGAAGAACTCCGATACGAAGTGGCCCGTGAGTTATGACTTTGGAGAGAGGCCAGTTTGGAAACTATACAAAAATATTAATTTAAATAGATATCATCAATACGTTAAGTTTGAATTAATGTTTATGATATTTATGACATACTTCATCATAGTCACCCCGCACAACGTGAACATCTGCTGCTATGGTACGTAAATAATCGAACGTTTCTTTATCACACACATTCCCCGTACATATGATTTGTTGTATTTTTCCCGGTACCTATTTTGTTCCAGTTGATTCATGAAATAATTATGAAACATAAGCTTTTATTTAATTACGATTAAAGAAAAATGAGTATAAGAAATTAAGTACGACCAAAAGTTTTTTAAACTTGAGGGGAAGATCGTGTACGCGATATGGGACATGAAGATCACCTATTACTAAAACTAACTAGAATTTTTAAGAGTCGTTTAAAACTTTGGCAAGTTGTTGTTTCCATTAAAATATATCATATCTAAATATTTACCACCATTTGCAAAAGAAAAGACTATTAAAAGGATTTATCTGTTATTGAAACGACTAAGCATGATCGAAGGCCTATTTACGTATACTAACAACTGGAACTTGGGAAAATTATTCATAATTTCTGAGAAAATCCGTAATTTTGGGCAGCGTTGGCCTTAGCCAATGTCGACCAATAGAATGACACTAACCATAACACAAAAATTTACATGTGACATATCGTGTAACTGGCAACACACTTCGAATAACCTAGCGTCTTGGTCCTGGCAAAATATGCATCACACCACTCTGGATCATCTGTTAACAGCCTTAATTACAGAATTAACGAAAAATATTTTCAGGCAATAACACATTGTCAAGTAATTAGCCAATCGAATCGCAAATTCAATTTTACCGTTACACGATAATTTCATTTTTTGCGTATTTCGCACTATAATTTTTCTTAAACATCCTCAGTCCTTAAACGTTTGACATGCTAAAAGAGGCAACACTAACTGAAATGCGCTTCACGATTGTTTTGATTTTTGATTTTTATGTTACCGTTACCGTTACACTTGGTCTTATGAATTTATTGCCAGTCAGGTGAAAAGCGCCACTAATAACCAAAAAATACAAAGATTGTCTGGGGTAGGTGTTATAGTCCAATCAAATAGGAATTAGGCTAAGTTCAATCTTGTTTATTTTGCAGCTCTGTTACTTTCTAAAGGCCGGCAAGGCTGAATGCGAAAGGCCGAGACCAAAAATAAGTTTATAGGATCCTTTGTACTACTATATAGATTTTTATAATAACATCACGTGATAGCTTGGTTAACCTAGAATTTTCAGTTATTATCACGTGTAGAATGTATATTTAATTTGTACAATACTTCTAACATTCTTTTTTACAAAAAAAACATCGAGGATGTCGAATGAAACCTCAGCATTACCTGCTGAATCGAGTGTACCAAAGCAACCCCAAGAAGAACAAGGGCCAGCTATTCGTATAGTTCCACATATTGACGGTCCTCGCTCTCTGCATTTTGATATCATCGAGCGAGAAGTTCCTGAAACTGTAGTGATAAAAATTGGTCGTTTTACGGACAAAACTCTAGCACCAAATAGGGTCACGTTTAAGAGTAAAGTTGTATCTAGAGGTCATGCAGAAATTTGGACTGAAGGCGGCAAGGTATTTAGACAATATATATATATATTCATATAAATATATATGATTGTTTTATTTTTCGAAGCGTCTGGATCGATTTTCTTCGATATCACGGAAAGTTCCTTTCCGAAATCTTTCTAGCGAAGTTAAACGAATTATTTTTTCTTGTAGCGAAGAGCTACTAATTTTCATTTAAGTCATTGTAACATTTTAAGTGAAATCAGTAAAGTGTTCCTTTGAAAATAATATCTACTTTTTTTATCATTCTTTTTAAGTTTTACATTCGAGACACGAAATCATCTTCTGGTACTTTTCTAAACCATGTTCGTCTATCTGCTCCAAGCGCTGAAAGCAAACCTTTTGAATTAAACGATGGAGATGTTGTTCAACTTGGAGTCGATTATCAAGGTGGAACGGAAGGTAAATAACAAATATAATTATAAATCTTTAATACTGTTAATTAATCTATATGAAATTATTTTGGCATTAGAAATCTATCGTTGTGTGAAGATGCGTATAGAATTAAACCGTTCATGGCAAAGACAGGCCAATCCATTCAGGTAAGAGGATATCAAAAAAAATATCCTATGAAACTAACTAGAAAAAAACATATAAGTTTAAGTCATATAAGCCAGAACTCAACTATACATTTAAGAAGCTGGGAATAAACATTTAAAGGACATTGTGCAGAAAAAAGTCAAGAGGAATTTAAATTAAAATATAGCTAGAATTATGGAATTTGTACTCAGTTTTCACGTGGTATATTTCGACTTGTGTTGGTATTTTCCTTTAGAAAATTGACAAGATAGCCTTAAAAGTCGAATTAAATCACGTGATTGGAGGGATAGTTAACCTAAAGTATATACACCTCGGTCATAAGATTAATTAGAGTGTTTAGTAAGCTTATAAGTCATTTAAGAATCTATTATAAAAATTAAATTCCCTTAAGGAATTATGATTTAATGACTTTGACCGTATATACATATATTTTTAACTTTATTAACTTAATTTTCTTCTATGCACGCATATACACTATATTTTACATTTAGCCTCAATGCATTGAAACAATTCAAACAATTGACGAGCCCCGAAGCGTTAAGACAACAAACTACAGATTGTTGTATTTGTTTATGTGGAATTGGCCCTTGTCAAGCATTATTCCTTGCACCTTGTTGCCATATCTTTCATTATAAGTGTATAAGACCGCTTTTAGTTAACCATCATCCTGGATTTTTATGTCCACTTTGCCGTAGTTTTGCTGACCTTGAAGCACAAATCGATAATCCTGTCGATTGGGAACAATTGCTTGCTGAACAAGAGGAGGCAGAGAAAAAAGAAAATGAAGATCCCGAGATAAGTGCAAATAAGGAGAATATAGTAGAACAATCAGAACAATTAGAGCCCGAAAATGGGTCCCAAAACGCTGGGCCATCTACATCATTATCAAATATCCAACCACAAAATGTAACAGAATCACCACCACCTGAGGTGGATGCGATGGAAATTGACGAACGACTCAATTCGCTTTCCCTTGTATCTGCACCTCCTTTAGCATCGAAAAAAACTTCTGCAGTACCTATACCAAGAAATAGGAAAATGTCAAATTCTTCAGATGATGGTGATGACCAAAATTTAATACTTGGTCGCACATTACCATCAAGTCCACCAACTTTACCGGTAACAAATTATATTGACGAAAATCAACATCAATCACTTCGAGAACAAGGTGGGGCGCAAAGGTTAGATGAGATCATCGAAGAAGATGAAGGCTCAGTAGGTTCATCGAGTCCTGGTAAAAATCAAAATCCTACAACACCACTCCAGGAATCAAGTTGTTCTTCAGCTAGTATGAGTGGTGACGATGATGCTATAGTAATAGAAAATGACTTAGATCAAGTAAACGATATTACAACTGGGTATGTTGATGTATCGTCAGTAAGTAGACAAGTTGATGATTCTAGAGTAAAAGGAAAAGGTGTTGATCGATTAGGAACAAGTCACATAGAAAATCAGTTATAAATAGAAATGCAATCATAATTCCATGACGGCAGTTGCAACTTTTGCCGTAGTCTTTGCAACCTTTGTCATGATACGCAAGTCATAAACTTTTTCATAGGTAGTAACTTTTGTTACAGGTTGTGATCTTTGTTGTAGGTTGTAACCTTTATCGCAAAATGTCATAAATAGTTATTCACATCATATATATCGATATAAATTTATTAAAAATTGTATATTAACTATGATATACTACATGTTGATACGTATATGATGTGTAATTTATTGATATGTAATTTGATATATAATTTATCGTATATACATATATAAATGTTTTGATTTTTATTTTAACAAAAAATAAAACCATGAAATGGAAAGTACGAAATTCAATAATTTCGAACCTTGGCAGTTTCAAATAATTATTATACGCTATAATTTACAAAAAACACGTCACCATTGTAAAACTTTGAGTACGAGGTAGATCATTAATTAAATATTTTACGAATTATATAATGGATGTTCTTCCAATATGCAAGATGTGTTTTTAAAAATTAATAATCAATTAATTAGACAATTATCAAGATATAGATTATGGTTTGAAGCACTATTTAAAAATAAAGATTTGATTGAAATTATCTAATTTATATTAAGTTTTTTAGGTAGTTTAAAAGTTATATATGGGATCTTTGCTAGGATTTTTTTTTCTAAAAATAGATTTATTATGTTTTTCTTAATAAAAATCTCGTGTAACAATG